ATTCCGGAAGTCCGTTTGACTTCCAAAATGTTCGAAAACCAAACTTAATCCATTCCAGAAGTTGGTTTGACTTCTGAAATGTTCGAAAACCAAGGCACAACTTCTGATTGGTGCAAATGCCCTGGAAACAATAGCCAACAGCCACATTGGACGTTCAGCTTCCGAAAAACGTTCAAAACCGAGAATGCGTTTGGGAACCAAGACGTTTGAGAACCAAGGTACCACTGTATTTAAGTGTATAGCTTTAGTGTGAAAAGTACAATGAATCACCCTATACTACTTTCGCGATAAAAGCATCCCCACCTTTCCTTCCCAGGTAGGTGGCCGAAATACAAACCCATACAATTCTTTCAAAAAAAAATTCAAACCCAGTCTCTCACAAACAAATACTGTACCCTGTGCTTCCCGTGTTTGTCTCTTCTCTCTCATCACTTTCTCTTTGTCTCTTGTATTTAGGTAAGATGGAGACACACAATCCTGATGCTTTGTTTTCTAATTCATTTGTTAGACGGAAAACACAATGAAATTTGTATGAAAGTACACTGCTTGGTTGCTATGGTCTGTATATGTACGTGGGCAGGGGAGGTGATACCATATCATCCAACAAGCCTCAGAAAATAGGGACAGAGTGGAACCTTTAAAGCCCTAAACGGCCTCGGCCCACTATACCTGAAGGAGAGTCTCCACCCATCGTTCAGCCCGGACACTGAAGTCCAGCTCCAAGGGTCTTCTGGGAGTTCCCTCATTGCGAGAAGTGAGGTTGCAGGGAACCAGGCAGAGGGCCTTTTCAGTAGTGGTGCCCACCCTGTGGAACAACCTCCCATCAGATGTTAAGGAAAGAAACAACTATCTGACTTTTAGAAGACATCTGAAGGCAGCCCTGTTTAGGGAAGTTTTTAATGTTTAATGTTTTATCGTGCTTTTACTATTCTGTTGGGAGCCGCCCAAAGTGGCTAGGGAAACCCAGCCAGATGGGCAGGGTATAAATAAATGATGATGATGATCTGGGGTGCTGTGCAGTGGCATGGCATGAGGCTGCCTAGGGGCAGTTGCTCCTGGCGCAAAATTGTTAAGAAGCGCAAAATTTCAACACCCAGTGCTGCCTCAGTACAGCTCTGCATTTCCGTCGCTGGGCTCTACTGAAAATGGATTCTCCCTTCAAACAAGGAAGTGATCTCTCCAGACAACAATATCACTCTTCTTTTCTTATCTCTGTAGCTGCGATCTCCAGGTTGATGCAGACGCCGTTAGGGGAATTGAATGCACATCCTTCCCACCTCTTCCATGTGAGACAAAACCTCAAATAACTATGAATGGATAGGAAAATAAATTTATCTGAAATGTTCTGGGTTGTCATTTCACCTTATGAGGTGGTTGCAGGTTTTCCTTTTTTCAACTTAAAAAAGGAGTAGCTCTGAGCATTTTACAGTGATGCAATATATATAACTATACAATCTTTAGAAGCCATCTGAAGGCAGCCCTGTATAGAAGAAGAAGAAGAAGAAGAAGAAGAAGAAGAAGAAGAAGAAGAAGAAGAAGAGTTTGTATTTGATATCCTGCTTTATCACTACCCTAAGGAGTCTCAAAGGGACGCGGGTGGCAATGTGGGTTAAACCACAGAGCCTAGGCCTTGCCGATCAGAAGGTCGGCTGTTTGAATCCCTGCGACGGGATGAGCTCCCGTTGCTCGGTCCCAGCTCCTGCCAACCTAGCAGTTCAAAAGCACATCAAAGCGCAAGTAGATAAATAGGTACCACTCCGGCAGGAAGGTAAAAGGCATTTCCGTGCGCTGCTCTGGTTTGCCAGAAGTAGCTTAGTCATGCTGGCCACATGACCCGGAAGCTGTATGCCGGTTCCCTCGGCCAATAAAGCGAGATGAGCACTGCAACCCCAGAGTCGGTCACAACTGGACCTAATGGCCAGGGGTCCCTTTACCTTTACCTTTAAGGAGTCTCAAAGTGGCTAACAATATAGGGAAGGTTTTTTTAAAAAAAATACAAAATGTTTAATGTTTTATTATGTTTTTATACGTGTCGTAAGCTGTCCAGAGTGGCTGGGATAACCCAGTCAGATAGGTGGGATAGAAATAATCACATGATGATGTTGATGGAATAGGAAGTCCCTATTTTCATCAGAGAAATGTCAGAGGATATGCCATTTCAGTTGGCAGGACTGAAGCCTGGTTGCCCTACTGAACCAGTCTCTGCTGACTATGGTTACCTTAAGACGGGGTCAATAAACTTCTTCAGCAGGGGGCTGGTCCACTGTCCCTCAAACCTCATGGGGGGCCGGACTATATTTTGAAAAAAATAATGAACAAATTCATATGCCCCATAATGCATTTTAAATAAAAGCACACATTCTACTCATGTAAAAGCACCAGGCGGGACCCACAAATAACCCAGAGATGCATTTTAAATACAGTGGACCCTCCGGATATGAACTTAATTCATCCCGGCGGTCTGTACTTACCCTGAAAAGTCTGTATCCAGAGGTGCCGCTTCTGCGCTTGCGCATGGCACAATAGAGCGCTTCTGCACATGCACACGTGGTGAAACCCCAAAGTATACACTTCCAGGTTTGTCACGTTCGTAACTCGAAATTACATTACCCAAAGGTAACGTAACCCAAGGTGCCACTGTAAAAGGACACATTCTACTCATGTAAAAACACACTGATTTCGGGACCGTCCGCAGGCCAGATTTAGAAGGCAATTGGGCTGGATCTGACCCCTGGGCCTTAGTTTGCCTACCCATGCCTTAAGACCTCACAAACACAGTTAATAGTAGCGTGAAGATCCTCTCACCCAATTCTCTGAACCTTGAATCCCTGGCTTGGTGTTTTTTAAAGCCAGAGATGATGTCAGATATGAAGAAGAGCAAGAAGAAGAAGAAACTTCAATCAGCAACAAACCAAAGAAGGTCTACTAATTAAAATTTGGCAACAAAGAAGGATGAGCTGAGAGGTGCAAATCAAATCAAAGTTGAGGAGAAGCTGTGGGGAATGCTGTCTCCTCCAGCGCTTGTTTTCAGGGAAATGGGGATGCATATTTTAAAACAAAAATAATGATTAAAGCTTGATTGCATTTACTCATGGCATATTCGGAAAGAAGAAGAAGAAGCCGTGAACATGCACCACTGGTTCCATCCTCGTGTCACTGCTTAGCAGGGCTAATACTAAGCCTTGAAGCTCTTTTACATAAATAGGATGACAGCTCAAAACAGTTGGGGGTGTTTTGATTGCCAATTTAACTTGTGTTTAAATTAGTGGGTATTTAAGTGTTACTAAAACATTTAGGGCCCTATTCACCAAAGCATCAGTTCTCATATTCTAATGCTTTGGCAAGATGTTCAGTTTGTTTTTTTCCCAATGCCATTTTGTTAGCAAGCATCTTGAACAGGATGTCAACTGACTGCAATTAAAACTTACTTGGAAATACCAGATACACTGGCATTAATGGCAGGGTAAGAAGGAAACATTCTGCGATATAAAGGATTTCCTACCCGAAAACCTCAAGATAAGCCTCAGCATTCCTGGGATTCTTTTTGCAACTTGGAATATTTGGTTTGATTTGGTTTTCTAATAAAAACTATTGCTTTGCAGAAAAGGTCCCTTACAGGGTTTGGAGGGACCTGAGGATCATCTAGTCCAACCCCCTGCAATGCAGGAATACGCAGCTGCCTCATCCGGGGATCAAACCTGCAACCTTGGCATTATCAGCAGCATGCTCTAACCCACTGAGCTATCCAAGTGCCTTGAAAAGCAAAAAACCAAGGCCACCCCTGTGAATTACTTAATATGAAATACCAAAGTGCCGTGAACACATTATTTGCAGTTGTGGAAAACTGCAAATATCTTCACTGGATTTCCTCAGAGGCAAGGCTTCTAGGACCTTTGCACGCAGCAAGCTCTTTATTTGCACGCATAAAATGTTTCTCATGTACATGTACCAATGTAATGCATGCATGCTGTAAATGTATATGTTACACATGAAGGTGTGCCGTGAGCATGCCTTTCCCCTGCGTGGATGTAAGGTAAACATACACAGACCCTCAAACAATTAATTAAATTTGAAGAGCACTTAGTTAAAAGATGGAAAATAAGACAACAATTAAACAGAAGCAGCAAATAGTTAATCAACCAGAAGGGGAAGTTGGGGGAAGTTATGGGGTGGGGGGAGTTCTGTTTTATTGTATTTCTCTCATATGATAAATGTGTTGAATATTACAATGTAAACTTAATAAAAATTTATTTAAAAAACCAAACATACACAGACCCTCCAAGTGTCCCTATTTTCCAGAGACAGTCCCTGAAGCCGTCCCAGTTACAGAAGCCGTCCCAGTTTCGGATTTGATCCCAGAATGTTCCACTTTTTCTTAGGACATCCCTATTTTCATTGGAGAAATGTTGATGGGCATGGAGTTATCCCCGATCCAAGGTGACACCTGAAGGACCTGTATAGGGAAGGTTTTTTTTAATGTCCAATGTCTAATGTTTTATTATGTTTTTATATATGCTGTAAACCACCCAGAGTGGCTGTAGCAACCCAGTCAGATGGGTGGGGTATACAAAAATAAATAGATAGATAGATAGATAGATAGATAGATAGATAGATAGATAAAATGGAACCTCAGTTTTTGAGCGTTTCGGAAGCTGAATGTTTCAGAACCCGAATGCCGAAAACCCGGAAGTAATTGCTTCCATTTTCGAATGTGCCTCAGAAGTCAAACGGCTCCCGCTGCATGTTTTTAAATCTCCTCAATGGAAATTGCCCACAGCCCTTTTGCGCCCCGGTTGTCAAACGTTTCGGAAGTCGAACGGTCTTCCGGAAAGGATCACGTTCAGTAACTGAGATTTCCCTGTAATAATAGAATAGGACGTCCCTATTTTCATTGGAGATATGTTGGAGGCTATGGCATTTGTTTAAATGAAAAGATTTCGTCTGAGCATTTATGTGCTCAGACCCCTTTGCTACTTGATTATGAAGCCTGACCGCTCGAGATGGAGTCAGTTGGAACGGCGCTAAATACAGTCCCCGTCCTCTGCCTGGAGAATATAGATTTCCCTGCCCCACCTCTGGAAGAAAGAAACAGAACTATTAGCTCCGAGCGTTACTTCCTGTCTGCTAATGAGTACAGCCAGGAACTGAAACAGATCGATGCAGACCAGCTCACGCTGTATAGCGTTGGTGCGATCAGCCAACAATCATAATCTCTCTTTGTTTTGTGCCACCCTGGAGATGAATTATTCATCAGGCCCAATTTTATATGCCTATTATGTCTGTGGGTAATGTCACTGTGGCTCACGGCACCAGGAAACCTTGGCACTCCGCTTAAGGCACGGCGTTGTGTGCCATTGTGTGCTTTTTAGGTTAGTGAAGCAAACCCAGGGAGTTTAGAGTGGCATCAGCTGTGGAGGCAGCTGTTATGCCCAGCCCTTGGAGCTGGAGGAAATGTACTGCAGGGCCCACCCCCAATAGAGTGCAAATGAGGAAGAGTGGGGGAGAGATTTGGGGATCAAAGAAAGATGGATGTTCCATAGTTAGTGCTGTTGTTTGCACACACACACACACACACACACACACACACCTTTGAACGCACACTGCAGCCTCCAAAACTGCTCATGAGTCATTCAGTCGCCGTAATTTATGTATCAGAAATATTTGCTTGTGAAATTCAGAAATGATTTATTCTTCAGTTGTTGCTTTTATTTACTTGCTTAATGGATTGACTGATGTGCCAGCACCCCTCCGGCAGAAGAGCCCCCGCTTCTTTCTGCCTTTTCTTTAAGGACGTATATTGCTAACAGACAGGACTTTTTTGCAGATGTGCTAAATCGGATCGCCGTTGTTCTTCTGTGTTTATAACTGAGTTCCTGTTGGACTGATGATTGGATCTGTTCTCTGCTGGAAAAAAATCCCAAACCCAGGTACATGGCTCGCCGGGGCATTCAGAAAGGAACAAGAATGTTAATTTTCATAATAATCAACAAGGACAATAGCAATAATAAGAAACATTGAAAATACTTCTGGAAACTCAAAACAGGATTTGAAACCAAGATAGGCACCTAGACTAAGCAGTTCTCTCAAAGAGCTCTTTTCCGAATCTAATAGAGCCATTCCACAACAATGGGAGTTATTACAATTCCATCTGGCATCATTTATCTGCAGATGAGAGGCGTGCAGGCAGAGAGGTCCACAATCTAATTTGCTAAAATGGCGGCTTCAGATTATCTCCTGCTCTATGTGGCCATCCAGCCCATTTTAATTTTGAACTGGATCCATGCCACTGGAACAGAGGTAAATGATCGTTGCTGGGTTGGAGGCTTCTGGGCAAAAGAGAGCTGTGGGTGTCTCCTGCCTTGTAAATGTTTTTATCTGGCAGATTTCATGCTTGCTGTTGCTTATTGTTATTACTGTTGTTGTTTTTTTCTTTTAAAAGAAGGAGAAACCATTTTGAAGGTAAGAACAAAACTGTAGCCACGAGATTATCTGATATGCAGAATGCAATCTCGACAACACCTCTCTTGCTATACATCTGGGCGCATGTGCTGCAGTTTTCACAACGAAGCCAAGTGAGCTCATGCCAGCAACTGATTGCTGAGAATGGTCATAATGGAGGAGTCAGCTGTACGGCTGCAAAGAAAACATTTTAAGTGTGTTGTAAAGTGCATTGTACTGATGTGACACTAGATGGCAATGATGAGCTATGGCAAATTCCATATATTTTTCAAATCAGTTTTTTTAAAAAAAGCATTTTCACAATCTTTTTTTTATACGTGTGCAGATTCCACCTAAGGCTCACCACCTTTTGCCAAACTCATTTTAAAGGGGCTGTGCGACATCACTTCCTGTTCATTACTGGCAGGGGATGATTGCACCACAGCACACATGATAACAGATTTCCAGACAACCAGGGACAGTGGGTATACAAATGGCATGCTGTGTGCATGTGGCAGATCAAGAAGGTCAGAGTGTGAGCTGCTATAGACTGCTACAGCTGGGATCAATCAGACAAGAGCCAGCCAGCAGAGCACTTTTCAGCTATGATGGGTCCCTGGTTCTTCTAGCAAATGGATGTTATCTGGCCTTCTGCTGCCTTTTTGACCTAAACCCATCTCTTGGCAGGAGTAGCCTCCACAGGTGTCCAGAATGCCTGAAAGACATGGAGTCAATTAGGAGAGAGATAAGCAGATCTTAATTGTCAGCAATGAGACAGCACATCTAACCTGGGTTGTGGGGTGGAGGGTCGTGACAGAATACTGATAGTCTTAACGGTAAAGGTAAAGGGACACGGATGGCGCTGTGATCTAAACCACTGAGCCTCTTGGGCTTGCGGATCAAAAGGATGGCGGTTTGAATCCCCACGATGGGGTGAGCTCCTGTTGCTCTGTCCTAGCTCCTGCCAACCTAGCAGTTTGAAAGCACACCAGCGCAAGTAGATAAATAGGTACCTTTATGGCAGGAAGGTAAACAGCATTTCCATGCACTCTGGCTTATGTCACGGTGTTCCACTCCACAAGAAGTGGCTTAGTCATGCTGGCCACGTGACCCAGAAAGCTGTCTGTGGACAAATGTCAGCTCCCTTGGCCTGAAAGTGAGATGAGTACCACAACCCCATAGTGACCTTCGACTGGACTTAACTGTCCAGGGTTCCTTTACCATTTTTTTACTTTAGTCCTCATGCCTTCAAAGGCAAGCCTGGTTTTGTGCCATGCAGTGCTTCCTTTAATCCTTGCAAAGATGCATGAAGAAAACTCAGCAAACCACGTTTGCAGACAACTCTTCTTGCCAAGAGCTTAGGGCAGTGGGTATCGGAATTTCTCTTTTTTAGCTTCAGAACAACCCTGCAAAGTGGCTCTAGGCTGACCGTTGCTGACTAGTCCCATCCACGGAAGGTCAACTTGTGAGCCTCATGGAGCAGCAGAGGTTTAAACCCAGACTCTGCTGCTCTCCCTACTATGCCGCGGTGCTGGAAATTATCCAGTACCCTTGTGCCTTTGCTGAAGCAAAGATGAGTCATATTGGCTAAGTGAATTGTCAAGAGAAGGTAGATCAGTGCCAGAGCAAATTATAATCTTCAGGAGCTCCTGGCTGTCAGGTTTGAACTTTACAAAAGTTGACCATTCTCCTCTTTCTGTGAAGACAAACTGGATGTACTAAGATGAGGAATAGCGGTGTGTACATAGACCATAAAAGCACTGCATTTGGAATGAGCTTAGATTGAAGGCTGGCTGGTTCCTATAAAAACAAGAGATGAAGCTGAAAGCAATCACCTAATGTATTGGCGAAAGTACCAGTCAGCAAATGCTGACTGAAAGTCTCTGGGTACCTCGCTGAACTATCGGAAAGCATAGGAGTGAAGTGGGAATTGTTGTCGTAATGACAAGATAAAGTTACTAGGGAATATGAGGGAAGTAGCTACACTAACATAAATTCTTTTTGTTTGCTGTTAAAAGTGGCTGATCAAATAACGGGATATATTATCCCAAGCCCTGTTATTGGGGCCTCAGCATGTCCCCCATATAACCTCAGGTCAGCGTAACCCTATGTAAACAGCTCTCCCATTTACCTGAACTACTCAGTTGTGTGATATTTAGAATATCCTCAAGCCACATTTGGCCAAACATTTCTCTACAGCAATTTGATAGGAGGGTGGTGGAGGGGTTTGTGGGTTTTTTTGGATGTTATTTTTAAAAGAGCTGTCGAACATTTCTGCACCATCGTCTCAGCATCCGTTGAACATTATACCTTTGCTTTTAATTGGGGGGGGGGGAGATATGCAATGTGTAGACTGCTTGCCTGCTAGGGCCAATAAGGCAGATGGCTGGATAACTATCACTGCTGCAACAAGATTTTGAGTTGTACGCGCCACAGTGAGATTCTCATTTAACTGCTGGCACAGTAGGGCTTGTGCAAATACTGCATTTTATACTTGGTTGTTGCATCAAGGGGAATTCCCTTTGAACAAGTGTAGCCAGATCTTGGGGACTCCAACTCCCATAATCCCTGACCATAGCCCATACTGACTGGGAAGGTGGTCACTGGAATTCACAATATCTGCAGCACACTGGTTAGTGCTGCCTTAGTAAGTCAGCTTACTACAGATGTCACAATACTCAGCAGTTTTGCGTACTTGCCACACCATGTTACCCTGACAACAACAACAATAACAACAACAAGCCTATCAATTAAGTGAGTAGTATTGTCATCATATTGCCTATGGGGGAGTGGGAGGACTGAGGAAGAGAAGAGTTGGTTTGCCGAGGGCTACTTGCTAAGTTCATGGTAGCAACACAGGTGGCGCTGTGGTCTAAACCACTGAGCCTCCTGGGCTTGCCAATCAGAAGGTTGGCGGTTTGAATCCCTGCGACGGGGTGAGCTCGGTCCCAGCTCCTGCCAGTTCAAAAGCACACCAGTGAAAGTAGATAAATAGGTACCACTGCGGTGGGAAGGTAAATGGCGTTTCCGTGCGCTCTGGTTTCCATCATTTTGTCCTGTTGCTCCAGAAGCAGCTCAGACCACATGACCTGGAAAAACTGTCTGTAGACAAACGCTGGCTCCCTCGGCCTGAAAGCGAGATGAGCGCCGCACACCCCACAGTCAAATTTGACTGGACTTAACCATCCAGGGGTCCTTTACCTTTACCTAGGGTAAGACTCTTTTTAAGAAAGAGTCTTAAAAAGTAGAGACATCACCTTGCCAACAAAGGTCTGTATAGTAAAAGCTATGGTTTTCCCAGTAGCGATGTATGGAAGTGAAAGCTGGACCATAAAGAAGGCTGATCGCCGAAGAATTGATGCTTTTGAATTATGGTGCTGGAGGAGACTCTTGAGAGTCCCATGGACTGCAAGAAGATCAAACCTATTCATTCTGAAGGAAATCAGCCCTGAGTGCTCACTGGAAGGACAGATCATGAAGCTGAGGCTCCAATACTTTGGCCATCTCATGAGAAGAGAAGACTCCCTGGAAAAGACCCTGATGTTGGGAAAGATTGAGGGCACAAGGAGAAGGGGACAACAGAGGACGGGATGGTTGGACAGTGTTCTCGAAGCTACCAGCATGAGTCTGACCAAACTGCGGGAGGCAGCTGAAGACATAAGTGCCTGGCGTGCTCTTGTCCATGGGGTCACGAAGAGTCGGACACGACTAAATGACTAAACAACAACAACAGGGTGAGACTCAAACCAAGGACATCTTGGCTTGTAACTCA